TGGAGACATTTAAAAAGCCAAAGGCAAAGTTTATCATGAGAAACCTGACCAGCAATCGCTGTGACAGTTGTTAGCAGGTTCATCAAGATGAAGATTGACAAAAGGGTTACAGTCCCTTGGCTCTACCCCTCCTCAGTGGGGACCCAAAGCCTTATGTACATCAGTAGGTAAAATGGTCGGGAAGAGTGGGGTGTGGAGAAAAGGTTACTGGGACTCAATACAGGAACCCCCAGCACTGCGGTACCAAAACCTATTGATGAAGCCCTGAGGCAGGCTGCAGTTAGAATGAGGGAACAGTAAAAGGTAAGGGTTGATAGGATCATGAAAGGTGGAACGCTTCAACAGACTTTAGGTAAAGAAGCTGTGTGTCCTTTACCTGAATGTTTTATGGGAATCGATAGTCCATCCGGCTCGGGAACACTTTTTCTTTTTGAGACGGAGTCTCGCCCTGTTGCCCAGGCTGGAGTGCAGTGGCACGATCTCGGCTCACTGCAACCTCTGCCTCACAGGTTCAAACGATTCTCCTGCCTCAGCCTCCCCAGTAGCTAGGATTACAGGTGTGTGCCACCACACCCAGCTAATTTTTGTATTTTTAGTAGAGACGGGGTTTCACCGTGTTGGCCAGGCTAATCTCAAACTACTGACCTCAGGTGATCCGCCCACCTCAGCCTCCCGAAGTGCTGGGATTACAGGCGTGAGCCACCACACCCGGCCTAACACTTCTTAATACCTAGTATTGTAACACCCAAACCTGTTAATTAAGTCCTAATGGAGGCCACAGTTAGGAAGGTAGTGGTTGATGGAATTAAAGTCTGTAGGCGAATTGGTGTTTTTCGGCAGGCTTCATGAGAAGTGCTTGCGTGTGTCTCTTACCTGATTGTGTTATGGGAATGGATATTGTGTACACCTGGGAATGTTTCCCCTACCTAGTATTGTAAACCAGAAGGCATCACAGCGCGCAGCACTTCACTCATCAGTGTGGAGAGTGTTCTTAGAGGTCACCGGTGTGGAAGCTGAGGCTTCCTCCCCTTGCCTCCCCTGCACCACGCTGCAGAGACCAAACACTGGTTTCTTATTAGGGCACAGTTCTCTCAGCAGGTGAGGCATTAACGGCCAAGAAAAAGAAAGGATGAGAATATAATCATGAATAAGTCTAGCAAGGAAAATATTTTTAGGTGTTTTTATTTTTTTGTTGTTGTTTGTTTTTTTGTTTTGTTTTTTTTTGTTTTTTGTTTTTTTTTTTGCTTTGGAAACTGTTAGTCCAAACTGCACCATTTTGTAAAACCCCCAGCCATTTTGCAGACCTTGGTCAAAGTGCAACATTCCACAGGGGTTCAGGCACACCTGCCCAACCGCCTGACTCTCTTATTCTATTCTGCTGGAAGGAAGTGTAAGGAACCTCACACTGCATTGGAACACCAAACTGCCTAATCACGGGAACACGTTATGAACGTTTTCCCAGGCAGCAGGCCATGCCCCCCGTTCCAGACCCCTCCCGCCCGCCTATAGTTGCCCCAGCCTGTAAGCAGCGGTGGACACTGGCGTTAACCTGGTCCCCCACCTCTGCAGGTCTTATGCTGGACATAAAGCCTGCATTCGCTGTAGAGCCACCACTCTCTCTCTGTCTTTCTTTAACCCTTGCCTTCCCTTAAAACCTAACAAAAACTATCTATAAGACAATTTTTCCTCATCCTCCAGTAAGAACCTAATTTTTTGTTTGTTTTGGTTTGGTTTTGGGGTTTTTTGTTGGTTTGAGACAAGGTTTTACTTTGTTGTCCAGGCTGAAGTGAAGTGGTGCGATCATGACACTGCAGCCTCGACCTCCCCGGGCTCAGGTGATTCTCCCCGATCAAACCTCCTAAGTAGCTGGGACTGCAGGCGT